ATGGTGGATAATCTTTTTAAAGTGCTGTTGGATCCTGTTTGCTAGGATCTTGTTGAGAATCTTAGCATCCATATTCATCAGTGATATTGGTCTGAAATTCCCCTTTTTTGTGTGGTCTTTGCCTGGTTTGATGATCAGGGTAATACTGGCTTCATAAAAAGAGTCTGGAAGTTTTCCTTCCGTTTCAATTTTTTTAAACAGCATCAGGAGAATAGGTATTATTTCTTCTTTGAAAGTTTGGTAGAATTCCCCAGGGAATCCGTCAGGTCCTGGGCTCTTGTTTTTTGGGAGGTTTTTGATCACTGCTTCAATCTCGTTACTAGATATCAGTCTATTCAGGTTGTCGATTTCTTCCTGGTTCAATTTTGGGATTTTGTAGTTTTCCAGGAATGCATCCATTTCATCTAGGTTGCTTAACTTATTGGCATATAACTGTTGATAATAACTTCTGATGATTGTTTCTACTTCCTTGGTGTTAGCTGTGATCTCTCCCTTTTTATTCATAATTTTATTAATTTGAGCTTTCTCTCTTTTCTTTTGGATTAGTGTGGCCAATGGTTTATTGATCTTATTGATTCTTTCAAAAAACTGGCTTCTAGTTTCATTGATGTGTTCTACTATATCTCTAGTTTCTACCTCATTGATCTCTGCTCTAATCTTGATTATTTCCCTTCTTATGTTTGGAGTTAGTTTGATTTGTTGTTGATTCTCCAGTTCTTTAAGGTGTAGAGACAGCTGCTGTGTTCTGGATTTTCCAATTTTTTGAGGGAGGCTTGGATGGCTATGTATTTCCCCCTTAGGACTGCCTTTGCTGTATCCCATAGGTTTTGGACCGAAATGTCTTCATTCTCATTGGTTTCCATGAATTGTTTAAGTTCTTCTTTGATCTCCTGGTTGATCCAAGCATTCTTAACCAAGGTGGTCTTTAGCTTCCAGGTGTTTGAGTTCCTTCCAAACTTTTCCTTGTGATTGAGCTCCAGTTTCAAAGCATTGTGATCTGAGAATATGCGGGGAATAATCTCAGTCTTTTGGTATCAGTTGAGTCCTGATTTGTGACCCAGTATGTGGTCTATTCTTGAGAAGGTTCCGTGTGCACTTGAGAAGAATGAGTATTCTGTTGTTTTAGGGTGGAATGTTCTGTATATATCTATGAGGTCCATCTGGTCCAATGTGTCATTCAATACTCTTGTTTCTTTATTGGTTTTCTACTTGGATGATCTGTCAATTACTGAGAGATTGCCAAGAACTTTTAAATTGGCCTTGAACCCTTCTTTCCTTCATCCTTGTCTGCCTGTCTTCTGTTTTCTCCTTGCCCCAGTCATTTGTTTATTTATTCATTATTAATAATGTCTGCATGCCAGGTACAGGGAATAGAGGGGTAAGATACTCTATAATAAACACTCACTAAACCAGCCCTTGTGAAACTTGCCTTCCAGAAACTTGTACCACAATAAAATATAATGAATCTTATGAAAGAGGATGTAGACAGTGCTGTGGAGCCTTTTCTCTCTCCCTTCATCTTGTTTTGCCTTTTTCCTCCAGTCTCCATATAAACTCTTCCTTTTGTTTCTACTGTCTGTCCTTCTATCTATCCCTTGGCCTCACCCTGAACTCTGACAATGGTCAGTTCACATTACAGAAGAGATTTTTCCCATTTCCAACTCCCATGTGCACACACCCTCATGTCTGTGCAGTCACTTCCCTGATCACACGTTCAACACTTCCCTTCAGGGGCACAAGCATTAGATCCCTGTCACTTTGGGGCAGAGGAAAGACAGCTGCTTCCCCTCATGGGAGTCAGACCCTGAGAGACATAAAGTTCAGAGCCATTAGAGTTTTATGGTGAGCCAGAATAAAAAACCCCAGGAAAAAAATTTAAAACCCCCAGAATTCGTGTGAAGAAGTTAAAATTTGGTAAATCTGGAGGGCATCCTGCCATGTTGAATAGGTCAGACAAAGAAAGACAATTACTATATGATCCCATTTATATGTGGAATCTAAAAAAAGGGGGTGTGGAGAATGAGCTCATAGATACAAAGAACATATGGTGATTGAGAGAGGCAAGAGATAGGGGTGTGGGTGAAATGGGTAAAGGGCATCAAAGGTTACAAACATCCCCAGTTATAAAATAAATAAGTTATGGGATACAATGTACAACATGGTGACTATAGTTAATCCTGTAGTTGCATATAAAATTTTCTAACTATGTGATGATGCATGTTAACTAGATTTATTATGGTGATCATTTTACAATATATGCAAATATCGAACCATTATGTTGTATACCTGAAGTTAACATAATATTAGATGTCAGTTATACCTCAACTTAGGAGAGAGGTTAAAATGTGATACATATCAGTTTACAGAATATTTTCTGCATATATTTTACAACAGTATGAGATCCAGCAGGTAACCTCTCATCTCCATTTACAAGTCCAGCGTCTGTGGCTGAGAGAGATAAGCACTTGTTGATCACGGCCATATCAGGGTTTAATCTTTTATTTTTTTTTAAGATTTTATTTGACAGAGAGAGAGAGGGAGCTCACAAGTAGGCAGAGAGGCAGGCAGAGAAGAGAGGGGGAAGCAGGCTCCCCAACGAGCAGAGAGCCCGATGCGGGGCTCGATCCCAAGACCCTGAGATCATGACCTGAGCCAAAGGCAGAGGCCTAACCCACTGAGCCACCCAGGTGCCCCCATATTAGGGTTTAATCTTATGTCCTCTAACAAGTCCCCATTAATTCCTCATAGGAGCTCACAGCAACAAGGAAAGGAGGCCATTGCCTCAGAGGTTGTCACATTTGTTTAACAGCTCCTGCCACACAAAGGTCTAAGGACAGGCTGTGCCTAGTTATTCCTGAGCCTCCCAGGGATTTTTATATGGAGACTCAATCTCCCCGCCTACATGCACATACCTATGATCGTGTGTGTGTGCAAGTAAATGCACACACACACCTCTCACATAGATACATCCTGCTCCACTCCCCTCAACTGCTTGCTCTGATTCCTACTAATTCTCACTTACCTACCATTTGGAGGGATAGAATTCAATGTCAGATGCTTAATTGAGCAATTGAGAAATAATAATGTGATTGCTTATCCATTATTTCTTCCATGCCCTTTTTCTAAGTGTCCCTAAACACACACACACACACACACACACACACACACACACACACACACACCATCCCTCCAAGTTAATGTTATAAACTTACTCAGATGCTGTAAATCCACCTCAATGTGAGAGAGTCTCTTTATCCCTGTCCTGTTCCATTCAGGCAAAGGCAAATGAAGCTGTTTTTGGAGATTTCCCCAAACCGACATCTGTAATGTCCTCTTGGTATAAAACACCAGGAGGACATCGATGGCAATAATCAGAGCTAGCCCAATGTAGAACATTTTCAGGACATTTCTCCTGGGTATCATGTCCTGCCTCTGAAACTGTCACCTTCTGAGGGTCTGAACGTGTCACTGCCCAGGTTAGCTAAGGATCACAATCAGCAGAGCTCTGTCTCTGCCGGCTGCTGCCTGCTAAACCAGATGTTCTTTGACTGGAAAAGCTATCACAAACTGCCTGGCTTCTTCCTGAATATTGTCAAGTGTGTGGAGTGTGCCCGGGGCAGCTACCCAATAACTGGGAGGATACCTACCTGGGCACACCTTGCACTGTCTTAGAAGTCAGGTTAATGTTTGCCCCTGGAGCTACCTCAGGCTGTGGTGGGGGAGGTTTTCCTCTCCCTGTTTTGTTTCATTTCATTTTTTAATTTCTTTTCAGCGTTCCAGAATTCATTGTTTATGCACCACACCCAGTGCTCCACGCAATATGTGCCCTACATAATACCCACCTTCCACCCCCTCCCCTCCAAAATCCTCAGTTTGTTTCTCAGTGTCTACAGTCTCTTATGATTCATCTCCCCCTCCAATTCCCCCCAACTCACTTCTCCTCTCCATCTCCCCATGTCCTCCATGTTATTCCTTATGCTCCACAAATTAGTGAAACCATAGGATAATTGACTCTCTCTGTTTGACTGATTTCACTCAGCATAATCTATTCCAGTCCCATCCATGTTGATACAAAAGTTGGTTACTCATCCTTTCTGATGGAGGCATAATACTCCATAGTATATATAGACCATATCTTCTTTATCCATTCGTCCATTGAAGGGCATCTTGGTTCTTTCCACAGTTTGGTGATTGTGGACATTGCTGCTATGAACATTGGGGTATGGATGGCCCTTCTTTTCACTACATCTGTATCTTTGGGGTAAATTCCCAGTAGTGCAATTGCAAGGTCTTGGGAAGCTCTATATTTAATTTCTTAAGGAATCTCATCACTGTTTTCCAAAGTGGCTGTACCAACTTGCATTCCCACCAACAGTTTAAGAGGCTTCCCCTTTCTCCACACCCTCTCCAACACATGTTGTTTACTGTCTTGTTATTTTTGGCCATTCTAACTGTGTAAGGTGGTATCTCAATATTGTTTTGATCTGAATCTCCCTGATGGCTAATGATGATGAAAACTTTTTCATGTGTCTGTCAGCCATTTGTATGTCTTCTTTGGAGAAGAGTCTGTTCATGTCTTCTGCCCATTTTTTTGACATGATTATCTTTTGTGTGTGTTGAGTTTGAAGAGTTCTTTATAGATCTTGGATATCAGCTCTTTGTCTGTACTGCCATTTGTGATTATCTTCTGCCATTCGTGGGTTGCCTTTTTGTTTTGTTGACTGTTTCCTTTGCTGTGCAGAAGCTTTTGATTTTGATGAAGTTCCAAAAGTTCATTTTTGCTTTTGTTTCCTTTGCCTTTGGAGACATATCTTGAAAGAAGTTGCTGCAGCCGATGTCCAAGAGGTTACTGCCTATGTTCTCGTCTAGGATTTTGATAGATTCCTGCCTCATGTTGAGGTCTTTTATACATTTTGAGTTTATCTTTGTGTATGGTGTAAGAGAATGGTTGAGTTTCATTCTTCTATACATAACTGTCCAATTTTCCCAGCACAATTTATTGAAGAGACTGTCTTTTTTCCACTGTATATTTTTCCTGCTTGGCTGAAGATTATTTGACCATAAAATTGAGGATCCAGATCTGGGCTCTCTACTCTGTTCCACTGGTCTATGTGTCTCATTATTCCCTTCATATTCTCAGACCACAATGCTCTGAAACTGGAACCTAACCACAAGAAAAATTTCAGAAGGAATTCAAACACCTGGAAGCTAAAGACCACCTTGGTTAAGAATGCTTGGATCAACCAGGAAATCAATGAAGGACTTAAACAATTCATGGAAACCAATGAGAATGAAGACACTTCGGTCCAAAACCTATGGGATACAGCAAAGGCAGTCCTAAGGGGGAAATACTTAGCCATCCAAGCCTCCCTCAAAAAAATTGAAAAAACCAGAATACACCAACTCTCTACACCTTAAAGAACTGGTGAATCAACAATAAATTAAGCCAACCCAACACACAAGAAGGTAAATAATCAAGATTAGAGCAGAGATCAGTGAGATAGAAACTAGAGATACAGTAGAACACATCAATGAAACTAGAAGCCAGTTTTTTGAATGAATCAATAAGATCGATAATACATTGGTCAAACTAATCCAAAAGAAAAGATAGATGACCCAAATTAATAAAATTATGAATGAAAAGGGAGAAATCATGACTAACACCAAGGAAATTGAAACAATCATCAGAAATTATTATCAACAGTTATATGCCAACAAGTTAAGCAACCTAGACAAAATGGATGCATTCCTGGAAACCTATAAACTTCTAAAACTGAATCAGGAAGAAACTGACAACCTGAATAGACTAATATCTAGTAATGAGATTAAAGCAATGATCAAAAACCTCCCAAAAGACTGGAAGAGATTATGCTGAATGAAATAAGTCAAGCAGAGAGAGTCAATTATCATATGGTTTCACTTATTTGTGGAGCATAACAAATAGCATGGAGGACAAGGGGAGATTGAGAGGAGAAGGGAGTTGAGGGAAATTGGAAGGGGAGGTGAACCATGAGAGACTATGGACTCTGAAAAACAATCTGAGGGTTGTGAAGGGGTGGGGGGGGGGGAGGTTGGGGGAACCAGGTGGTGTGTATTGGAGAGGGCATGGATTGCATGGAGCACTGGCTGTGGTACAAAAATAATGAATACTGTCATCCTGAAAATAAATTTAAAAAATTAAAAAGAAAGAAGAAGAAGCAAACGGAGCTCTTCCTTACAGACCTCTTGGCCTTTGTGTGAAGGCAGGGTGCAATAAACTCCCCCTATACATCTTTGACTGTCCTTTCATCAGTGTTCTGGGAAACCACTGCACAGGACCAGAACTTTTCCAGTCTTGGCTGTGAATATGTGAGATTTGCCCCACAAAAGACCCTTCTGCCTTTCACATTCATGGGAAGATACTGGTCTCTTTTTTAAAGGAAGTGTTTTTCTATGGAGAAAGGGAACTGTGTCGACTTGAAGTCAACATTCAAAATTCTTATGCTTTATACATGCTTTTAAATACCTACTGAGGGGGTGCCTGGGTGGCTCAGTGGGTTAAAGCCTCTGACTTTGGCTCAGGTCATGATCCTGGGGTCCTGGGATTGAGCCCTGCATCGGGCTCTCTGCTCAGCGGGGAGCCTGCTTCCCTTCCTCTCTCTCTGCCTGCCTCTCTGCCTGCTTGTGATCTCTGTCTGTCAAATAAATAAATAAAATCTTTTTTTAAAAAAACAAAACAAAACAAAAACAAAAAACCTCCCAAAAAACAAGAATTCTACCAAACATTTTGGAATTCTTGGAAATCTAACAAACATTCAAAGAAGAAATAATACCTATTCTCCTGAAGCTGTTTTAAAAAATTGAAGCAGAAGGAAAACTTCCAGACTCTTTTTATGAAGCCAGTATTACCCTGATCCCCAAACCAGGCAAAGACCACACCAAAAAGGAGAATTTCAGACCAATATCACTGATGAATATGGATACTAAGATTCTCAACAAGATCCTAGCAAACAGGATCCAACAGCACATTAAAAAGATTATCCACCATGACCAGGTGGGATTCATCCCTGGGTTGCAAGTGTGGTTCAACATTCACAAATCAATCAATGGGATAGAAAAAATCAATAAGAGAAGAGAGAAGAACCACAAGGTCCTCTCAATTGATACAGAAAAAAAAAAAAATTGGACAAAATCCAGCATCCGTTCCTGATTAAAACACTTCAAAGTATAGGAATAGAGGGAACATTCCTGAACTTCATAAAATCTATCTATGAAAAACTCACAGCAAATATTATCCTCAATGGGGAAAAGCTGACAGCCTTCCCTTTGAGATCAGGAACACGACAAGGATGTCCACTCTCACCAATCTTGTTCAAGATAGTATTAGAAGTCCTAGCAACAGCAATCAGACAACAAAGAGAAATAAAAGGTATTCAGATTGGCAATGAAGAAGTCAAACTCTCTCTCTTCACAGATGACATGATACTTAAAATGGAAAACCCAAAAGACTCCATCCCCAAACTACTAGAACCCATACAGCAATTCAGTAATGTGGCAGGATACAAAATCAAAGCACAGAAATCAATTGCTTTCTTATACACTAACAATGAAAATACAGAAGGGGAAATGAGAGCATTGATTCCATTTATTATAGCACCAAGAATCATAAGATACTTGGGAATAAACCTAACCAAAGAGGTAAAGGATCTGTAATCAAGGAACTACAGAACACTCATGAAAGAAGTTGAAGAAGACACAAAAAGTTGGAAGACTATTCCATGCTCTTGGATCGGAAGAATAAACATTGTTAAAATGTCTATACTGCCTAGAATAATCTATACTTTTAATGCCATTCTGATTAAAATTCCACCGGCATTTTTCAAAGAGCTGGAGCAAACAATCCTAAAATTTGTATGGAACCAGAAGAGACTCCGAATTGCTAAGGAAATGTTGAAAAAGAAAAACAAAACTGGGAGCATCATGTTGCCTGATTTCAAGCTTTACTACAAAGCTTTGATCCCTAAGACAGCAAGGTACTGGCATAAAAACAGACACATAGACCAGTGGAATGGATTAAAGAGCCCAGATATGGACCCTCAACTTAATGGTCATTTCATTTTGTTTTTTAATGCTTCCACTCTCTCTGGTAAAATTACTCTCTGAAAGGGCATAAAGTATAGGAGACAAATACTATGAAAAAAGAATCCACAAAATGGGAAGCTTCCTTACGATATGTTTTTTGAGAAAAAGAGTCACATCTTAGATGTCTTTTTATCTAACACTACAGGGTCTTGAACATATTAGATGTGCAGCAAATGCTAGTTCAAAAAACTTGCATTTGGAGGAAAGACTGTCCTGCCGGATCTACCTAGAAACAGGTGGATGAGTTGGAAGCAGCCCCTGGGGGTGAGCCCCGG